AGAGAGAGAGAGAGAGAGAGAGAGAGAGAGAGAGAGAGAGAGAGAGAGAGAATAAATCCATGCCATTCTCCCAAAACTATTCTCCAAGCTTGTTAGTATGGGCCCTGCACAGACTAAACAAACACTCTACTATTATTAACCTGTCCCAGCCCTTACTACGAACCTCTGATGATTTCCCAGGTAAAGCTGATGTTGTTACAAGCCCAGTAATGCAAGGCTGACAAACGATCTTTGCTAAGGTAGTGTAGTAAGCAGCTGTGAGTTTTCTGAACAGCTAGGCATGGTGGCTCAGAACCTGTGACCCTGGCACTTGGAAGGCAAGAGAACTGCTCTAAGTTGCAGGTCTGCCTAAACAAAACCTGATCTCAAGAAAAGCTTTCTAAGCCAAAGTTATTCTAATTCTCAAAAAGTTTATATTTCACAGCCTAGCATATCTTGTTGGACACCATTTTCACAATGACATTATATATCATAAATCTTGTACTTATGTATCTTACCCACGCCCCAAAACTGGTTTGTAAAATACAGAGTTTCTAAAAGACATGACTAAGACTCCGATTTTTTAATAATACTCTTGAAGCATATGGTATGGTAAGAGCTTACCTGGACTACCAGTATCTGCCATTTTGCATAAGCTCAGTTCATAAATTCCAGTAACTCGGTTGCTATGTGAAAATAAAGTAGAGCAGCTGCTGAGTTTCTTGTAGCACAAAAGTAGGGAAACCTAGATCTGCTTACTTAGGAAAAGCAGGGCTTCTCAAGGGCCACAGTTCCACACTTAGATACACACACTGCCTTGTTCATTTTTACTTACTGTGAGTGCATGTGTGGTGGAAGGACAGCTTGGGGAGTCAGTTTTCTGCTGCCATCGTGTGAGTTCTAGGGCTCAGACTCAGGTCTCAGGCTTGATGGCAGGCCCCTTCACCCCCGAGCCACCTTTCCCATCCTAGCTAAGACACTGCTTATTTTTATAGTAACTGTTAGTTTGTTTACTTGTCTTTTCTTAAGAGGAGCTTATTTTCATTTTAATCTGTTATTTCAATAGGATGAAAAGAATAGGATAAACTAGAAAATTCACAACATAAATGAGGAAATGAAAAACTTCTTTTCGTGACATGAGAGAAGACAGGAAAATGTCTGACTGGAATGAAATGATCAACAATTCGGGGCACTGTGAACAGAAAGGGACTTTCAAACTTTCATTGTTAATTCTTATTTTATTCATTAAGCTGGGCGGTGATATTCATGTATCTATGCCATATATTCTCAAATGTATTTTTATGCCTTAAATATGTACAATAACTTTTTTAAAAAGATTTATTTACTTATTATTTACTTATGTATACAGTGTCCTGCCTGTATGCATGCATGCCACAAGAGGGCACCAGATCTTATTACAGATAGCTGGGAGCCACCGTGTGGTTGCTGGGAATTGAATTCAGGACCTCTAGAAGATCATCTCTCCAGCCCCTTTACAATAACTCTTACAAAGATGAAAATATCAATGGCAATCTGTTAAAAATATGATTAATAGTGACAATTAGTCCTTGCAAGTATTTACTATACAACATTCTCCTTTCCTTCATCAACTCACACATTCATTAACATTTATTACACGCCACCATGTGAGTCACTGCATCTTAGGTATCAGCCACTCAATTGGCTTATAGATTATTAACTTGCAGCAGCAGACAGGGTACCTAAGGGCTGTTGTTTCTTTCTGTTGGACTGGGCAAAGACCTGGAAACTAAACTTGTTTCAAAAACTTACGAGTCTGGTGACTTTGAGTAACCACTACCAAAGAGGCTTCGCAGAGAACGTGGCGGTGAGATCTTGGCATCTCGGGAATAGAAGACCATGCACACATCCTTGGTGATGACGGCTGGCTGGATGCAATGATCCAACTGCAAACAGACAAGATAAGGTGCTGAATGAAGACAGACAGAGCACCTGTGATAAGAGGCTGTACAGTAGCAACTTGGAAAGCTGGTTCCAGCTGTGGAGATAGGCAGGCTTCTGCTTCACCAATGATTTCAAAAGCCTCTCAACAGATAGTAATGGAAGGTCAGGAGCCTTCATGATGAACACGTTTCTTTTCCTTTAAAGGAAAATGCTATCATTATACACCGTTTAAAAAGGAAGAAACGGGGACACAGAGAGAGCTTCTAAGGACATAGGGGCTGTAAATGACAGCACAAGGATTAGAACTCAGGCTCAGGTCAGGATGGTGTTGCACACCTGTAATCCCAGTACCTGGGATGTGGAAACAGAAGCACCAAGTCACCTTCAGCTACAGAGTGAGTTTGAGGCAAACCTTGGCTACATGAGACTCTGTCTCAAAAAATAAAATTAACAACAGAAGAACTCAGCCTTGTTCCAAGACTTAGAACTATTAGTTTCTGGTACGCTCAGGAAATCATGGTATGAAACTGTCTTAACTGGTGATTGGATTCCTGAAGCTTAAGTAATTAAAAAAGTTGTTATCTTTTGACTAAAAAGAGCCCTGGAAAAGAATCTAAAACAATCAGAACAGTTACAATCAAATAAAGTAAATCAAATAAACAATTTAAGGATATGGAGAGAAAAGGAATGAAAAATACGTTGAAATTTTGCTGACCGCTCCCTGTCACTGCCCACTTCTCAGAGCCTGCTCAAGTTCTGGGTCCCTTACCTCCAGATAAGCGGATAAGGTCATGTAGATCTTTTCTCCGTAAGGTGTCACTCGGTTCAGAAGGAGGGAGTTATGTAGGGAGCTGTCCCATACAGCCTCAAAACGGTAGAAGGTCCTGAGGTCAGAAAGACAATGTGTCAACCAAAAGCAGCTGACGTTAGGGCAGCAGAGGGATTGCTGGTGAAGGGATCCTAAGGAATCCCATGTCAACCACTGTGCTCTCTGTTAATCACTCTTTTAACAAGGAAGGAACCTTGGCAGGTGCCCATCATCATTTAGGGACACTTAGCTGTGCACTCCATCATAGTTTTTGATAAAGGTTTTGCCTATAAACATGAAAACAGCAACAGCACTGTCAGGAATGGTAGCACATGGCTGCATCCCAACACTCAGGCAGTCAGGACTGCTGAAGTTTGAGGCTAGCTTGGTCTAAATACCAAGTTCCAAGCTGGCCAGGACACAGCACAAAACTCATTCTCAAACAAAACCAGCCCCACCACCAACACAAACTGTGAGAGCATTCAAAAGAATTAAGAAGAATGTGGACAGAATCTGGAAGAAAAAGACCAAGTGAGCCACCCTGTGTGTTTTAGTAACAAGATAAGAAGTAAGGACTCAGGAACTGTCAGCTTCAGTCCTCACATCTCCGGAGATCTAAAGTTCACAGACAATTCTGCTGATGCTTAGAAACACTGTAGCTGGGATGCTAAAGGTGGGAACAGGCAGAATTGAATTATGGAGAATGTTATTTCAATGAATGAACACAAATTGAGCTATCAATAGGACAGAGTAATTTTACAACACCAGAGGCAGTTAATTATTCTTCATTCCTTCTGAACCTGTCTGAAAACCAACCGTGAATTTAAAAATTAATCATAAGCTGAAGTTAACAGACATCCACAGACTAGTTTGTTAAGTTCTTCAAGTATTAGTTTTTCCTACTGGCAGACATGACAGACAGATGACACCGGTGGAGCTACAGGTGAATTCCAAGTTCTGGACCATTTCCTTCTTAGAATGACGACGATGACACTTCATGGGGAGATGCCTCACCACACTAGCTCTCGAGCAGAACAGAGCTCACCTGGATCACACAGACAGAGTGTTTCCTGTCCCTGCTCCTGCAGTCCCATTCTTCCTTACACCTTCTAAACGGTGACTCAGTCACTGGTTCTGCTTTCCTAGATTTCCAATGACAGTCAACAGGCATACCTTCTATCTAAGCACACCCCATGCATCTTCCTCCAGAAAACATGAGTAGAGAACTTTCTGGAAGTGAAGTCCCTAACCACACCCCATCTTTCCAGTGCCCAGGTTTGAGGTGTGGCCACTCCCCTCTGTAGCTGTTCTTACTCAGTTCTTTTCTAGAATGTGACTGTTTCTCAATGTCGAGTTTGGGAGGCAGTAAGTGTGGGTCAAGAAAATTCTCTGTACAGATTCAGAAGGCATATAGAGAGCAACAATTAATGAGAGAGTCATCAAGTAACCCAAAGTAACCCAAAGTGTAACAAAAATGCCAAACAGAGGAAGCCTTTTTCATGGCTTACAGATTCAGCAGAAAACCTTCATGCACTCAAAATCCTGTTTAAAGTAAAATCTTTATTTCAATTTGGTTTAAGAAACATTCTCATAATGGGAGACGATACTCAGCAAAAGAACTCCACCACACTGAGAGTTGTTCTTTTATTCTGTCCCTACCTGTCAAGGTGTCTTGGGTGGGACGGCACCCATCAGCTGGCAGGGATGGGGACACAGGCTGAAGTAATAAAGAAGGCTCACTTAGAGCAGTAGGCACTATGACAGATTTCTATCACTGTCTCCTGTCCTTGTGCTTATTCACTCAGTCCTAAACCCTCACCCAGCATCACCTAGGCCACGCCTGAGACTTCCTGGCATTCTTCCAGTTGAAGCAATATGTGCATCCATGGAGGAAACTCTTTTCATACTTCATTTTCAAGTTAAGACTTCACTTAATCTAAAGCAAAAATTTTACTAGCACAAACCTGGCTGAGACAAAGGGGAATTTTGTTTCTAATTTAAAAAAAACTTTATTTATTTTGAGACAGTGTCTCACTATTTAGAGCTGGATGGCTTGGAACTCTATACAGACCAGACTTGCTTCAAACTCACAGAGATCTGTCTGCCTCTGCCTCCTCAGTGCTGTGCTACCATGCATGGCAATACCATGGTGTGTGTGTGTGTGTGTGTGTGTGTGTGTGTGTGTGTGTGTGTGTGTCACAGAGGAGAGTCAGGTGGGACTATTCTCCTGCCAATGACACACCCTGTTGAGTTCACTGGAAGAATCTATGTGAACAGATGATATCCAGACTAAGATCTAAACTCATTCATCTGCCAAGTAACAGTCTGGACCACTTTTTCATGTGTTGTTGGAACACAGTCTAGGAATGGAGTTGTGTTAGGAGAATTCTGAGTGTTTGTGAAAAAACTCCAAGAAAACAAGACAAGAGTCTTGTGACCTCAGTTTCCTCAGAACACAGAACTATCCTTGGAATGTGTTTCTGTGCCCTCCCAGGTGAAGCAGTAGGAATGAGCTCACTTCAGATTATTCATTACAGCTGGCTGTTGTTATCTGTTTATCGGCCTCTATGGAAAAACATGTTTTTGCCATGTGCAGCTTTGTCCTTGTGATTGTACACTTTCTGAATTCGACTCCTCTTAACCCTCGAATATAAATTGTCTGATACTCTCAATAAAGTTGGCTATCGCATGAGACTTTAATCCACCTAATTTTTAGGCTATATTCTCCCAGCTTCCACCGCCTTTAAAGTGGCAAACAATGTATCATCATTTTCTTCAGTTTTCTTTCCTAAATCAAGTAAAAGAAATAGGAAAACACTTCACTATCAAGAATTTTTTCAGCCAGGCGGTGGTGGCGCACACCTTTAATCCCAGCACTCGGGAGGCAGAGCCAAGCAGATCTCTGTGAGTTCGAGGCCAGCCTGGGCTACCAAGTGAGTTCCAGGAAAGGCGCAAAGCTACACAGAGAAACCCTGTCTCGAAAAACAAAAACAAAAACAAAAACAAAAACAAAAACAAAAACAAAAAAAAAGAAGAATTTTTTCTAGTCTAAAAGGACCTTTTTCCCCCCATTCCCAATTTTTTTCTATCCCCCCAAAAGAAAAATGTGTTAAGATATACAGATAAAAAAGAAATGTTTTAAAATACATGAGGCTATATGTTGTGGCACACGCCTTTAACCCTGACACCTGGGAAACAGAGGCAAGAGGAGCTCTGTGAGTTTAAGGCCAGCCTGGTCTATACAGTGAAACTCTGTCTTTAAGGGAAAAAAAAAACAAAAACAAAACATAAGATAATAAACAAACAAACTAACAGACTAACATTTCTTCTTACAGACTCAACCACCCAAATAGCCAGTTTGGTCTGTGTGGTGGGCACAGAACAAAACAAAGAAAATGAGTGGATGGGGAAGGAAAGGGGGAATGTCAGAGAACAAAGCCTGAAATTTCATATGAAATGTAAAATATTCTATTTTAGGATATAGAAAAGGACAACTTGAAGAAGCGTTTAAAAATCAGTGAATGGAATGAGAAAATAATTTAGAGCACTAGGTCATTTGAGAAGTCACACATGAAACTGTACCCACATCAGTAGAACCTAAGGCACCAGTGGTATTCTTAGGTTGCAAAATAAGGTCTTGCTCTGTTCTAGGTACAGCTTAGATTTACACAGGGACTAAATCACTGAATCAAAACAGCAACCAACACAACATAGGACAGAAAGCATCCTGGTAATCTAGAGTCTCTATGTGCAAAAGAGCAACACAAAGTACCTAGGAATATCCTTATCAAGAGAGAGCCTGCAAAAACAGAAAAGGCTTTCATTAGTCTGGTGACCAGAGAGAGAGACAGAGAGACAGAGAGAGAGACAGACAAAGACAGACAGAGACAGAAAGACAGAGGGGGGAGGGAGAGAGAACAAATATAGAGAGATAGAAGCACAGAAAAAAGTTTGTTGTTTTTTTTTTTTTTTTAAAGGCAAAATATGCTAACAAGCAAACTAAATTCCAGTGCACAAATAATGAACAGAGAACTCTGGGACACAATCTGACAAGGGACTTAGAGTAACATGGACCCTTCTCTTGAGACTTCATTAAGAAAAAGGATGGACATGCAAGGGGATATGGAGATCAGATCTATTAATCACTCCCCATGGGGACCTTGTACTGGATATGGTAAGACACTGCTGATGAGCTAACAGAAAACCAAGGCAAGTGGTTAACACAATTGTAGGTGTGGGAAGAAAGGGAATCGAGACCTTGTCAATTATTCTTTACTATCATGTATAAGATGATAAAGAAAAAGCCCTTAAGACACATATATGGTACTACCAATGTGCAATCTATGCATTCAACTTAAACACTAGCCCTTATATAACTAGAACATAAGTCCTCTTAGTTCAGCTCACTTAGCAACTCACCACACAAACCTATGAGCCTGCCATGGTTAAAACTGTGTCAACTGAGCAGGATTAGAATCATTCTCGGAGACAAACCTGTAGGCGTGTGGGGTGTGTGTGTGTGTGAGAGGAGAGAGAGAGAGAGAGAGAGAGAGAGAGAGAGAGAGAGAGAGAGAGAGAGAG